TTTTTTATTTAATATAAGATCCTTTTAATAAAATACATGAAATTTTATCACTAGATAGCCTAGGTTTTTATTCGTTTTCATATAAAATTTGTACTTTATTAATTAAAAAAAAAATTTTTGATTTTAAAATGTTTACAGTATTTGTTTTTTCCAAAAATTTACATAAAATATATAAAAGTCATAGTTTCAAAGAATAAAACATATTAATATGATTTTCAATACTTTAACGTAGATTTTATTTAATGAATGAATTATTATTGTAGTTATTACTATTTATGGTTTGTCACGCACAATTTATTGTCAGGGCTCTATATTTCTGGACTTTACGGTAATACAATTTTCATATGAAGCAGTTGGAATTAAAACTCTGCATGAGCCAAACAAGCTAACTGGCTCTCAAGAAGCTTTAGTTGAATCTTTCTTTAGTCTAAGTAGCAAGCATTGTAAAATTAAAATTAAAATATTTGATCAATTTATTCTAGGTTTCTGATAAATTTTTTGCCACATTCGAGCACAAAAATTTTTATTCCAATAGGATATCTTGAATGACCTTGTAATTCAACTTCATGACAAAATGCTTTTGTACATCCTGGATATTCACACTTGAATTTTTTTTACCATGAATTTTACTAGGTTGGTAAAGTGCTCTTGTTTTCCCAAGTGCCTTATCGCATCTTCAGAAATTCATTATCATTTTATTTTTATTGTCATTACAGTCTACACTGTCTATAACGGATCTTTCTATAACGGATTTTTCTCTATAACGGATTAAAAGTTTGGTCTATATTAATATTAATATTATTATGTGAAAATAAATTCGAGATTCGTGTCACATGAAGTTTTTTTAAAATATCTCGATATTTTTATAATAAACTCGAATTTCGTTGTTAGAGTAAATGAAAGTCTCCATTAAGCTTTCTAATGAATACTCTTTTATATCGAAAAATCTTCTCTTCACGGCTATTCAAAACGGTATTACTTTTTCACTTCAAAGCTCAGATTATTTCTCAATATCGCTTTAAAAGACTTGATAGTAAATGAGA